GGATCTGCAGTGCCTGGGCTGACACAGCTCCTGGAGTGAATGAGTTTCCTCTGGAATAGCCTGTTTCCCATTCAGGTGGTAATTTTATGAGCGTTTATTACAGTTTATTTATTTACTTTTGGGTTGGGTTAGGTTTGAAATTGTTACCCGTCCAAGTCTTGCATAGTGGCCAGAATGGTACCAATGGTACCAATGTTAAAACAAGCAAGATTTTAATAATAATTTATTTTACAGAGACAAACCCTACTACATTTTACTGGGAAAGAAATTATATATAATAGATACATGTTTATTTATATAATTATAATATATATTATATTACATAATTATATATATTATATTATATTATATTTTATGTATTATGTTATACTATATATTATAATATATAAAATATAAATTATATATTATAATATGTATTATATATAATAATATATATTATCTAAATATATATAATTATATATGTAATACGTATTATAGCATTAAATATTGTATATTAAATATTATATATTATATATTAAATATTATATATTTTATATATTATAGTATATAATGCCTGTAATTATATATGTGATATAATATATTGTAATTATATCAATAGATACATATATATATAATATATATTATATATATATAATTATATATGGATATAATTCTAAGTCTCAGAGCAATGACAGTGATGGAAATGGCTCTGAAAGCGAGACCCTTAGGTCAGATTCCCTTTGGTCTTTCCCCCACTTTTCCCATTTCCATCCAAAGGAGGGGTTAATTTGAATTTCATTGCTTTCCACCCGTGGGGAAATATCAAATGCTCAGCATTATCACAGCCCCGTGCCCCAGAGGAGGGGGACAGGTGGTGTGTTTGGCCCTTCACTCCCCATCCACAGCGAGCTCATTAATTTGTGGATTCGCGCATTTTCCTGGGAAGAGGCCGCCGGTCTCTGTCCCTAAAAAGCAGCTGTGATTGATCATCGGGGGCAGGAGGGGAAAATCCTCGGGAATTAGTTATATGAGCATTTAAATGAACGCTGTTCCTGCGAAGGAGTGTTGCTTTTCCCGGGAGGAATGTGGAAATCGATGTTTTTAACCTCCTTCTAGAGCACCTGCCGCCGCGTGTTCCGTGAGGGAAGCGGTGCCTCCAAAACCGTTGGAGTCTTGGATTCTCCAAGGGAAACACGCTTCTGTTGGATGCTCTGCACCAGCCCAGCAGATGGGAGGGGGAAAAAAATCGGGTTACAGAAATCCTGCTGTCACATCTGGGATCTTGGTCCCTGCCAGGACTCGTTGGGTGCAGCCTCGGTGCTCCTGGGACGTGGAGCCCTCAACCCCAAACTGCTCCTGCGTCTCCTTGCCTGGTTTTTGGTGTTAGTTGGATGTCTCTGAGGGCCTGGAGCTGCACATTGAGGAGGAATTCTGGGCTGTGAGGGTGGGGAGGCCCTGGCACAGGTTGCCCAGAGAAGCTGTGGCTGCCCCTGGATCCCTGGAAGTGTCCAAGGCCAGGTTGGAGCAACCTGGAATAGTGGAAGGTGTCCCTGCCCATGGCAGGGGTTGGAACTGGATGGTGTTTAAGGTCCCTTCCCACCCAAACTATTCCAGGATTCTATGATTACATGAAGCTGGGATGGCTCCAGGCTGGGGTTCTCAGTTTCCCATCAGACAAATCCTGTGGGATGCAGCTCCAAGGAATTAAAGGAAAACACTGAGCTCCAGGGAGAGCTTGGAGCCCCTTCCAGAGCCTAAAGGGGCTCCAGGAGAGCTGGAGAGGGTCTGAGGACAAGGGATGGAGGGACAGGACACAGGGAATGGCTTCCCACTGCCAGAGGGCAGGGAAAGATGGGAGATTGGGAAGGAATTCCTGGCTGGGAGGGTGGGGAGGGGCTGGGCTGGAATTCCCAGAGAAGCTGTGGCTGCCCCTGGATCCCTGGGAGTGTCCAAGGCCAGGTTGGAGCAACCTGGGCTAGTGGAAGGTGTCCCTGCCCATGGCAGGGGATGGATTAGATACCTCTAAAGTCCCTTCCCACCCAAACCATTTCTATATTATATATCTATATTATATACCTATATTATATATCTACATTACATTCTTATATTATATTTCTATACTATATTTATATATTATATTTCTATATGATGTTTCAACATTATATTCCCTGCCAGTGGGGCTTTACTATAAATAAAGACCCAAAGCAGATCATTGGAAAATGTTTTGCATTTTGAGTGATGTGTGGAGTTTGGACATTCCAGGTGAATTCATGATTCCATGCATTGTAAAATTGTATCTAACCCTGTCCAAGCCTGCAACAACTTCACTGTTTTAAGTTGTATTTTTGACTCTTCCTAAATAGCTGGGCAGTAAAGAAGTGAAAATCTCCTTTAAATTTTTTTCTTGGAATTATTTATGGCACCCAGAGTGAATATATTGAGCCAGAAGTGTTGATATCAAGTGATTTATTGCAGTATCTCCATGGAAGTAATACAGTGAGCAACTGGGAGCTTTAGTGCTGGAACTGGTGGTTTATTCTTAATGCAAAAATCAAATTAAATTCCCTTCAGGGCAGGAGTTCTGCCAGGGGAGACTTGGCCCTGTGGACAAGCATTATATATGTAAATTTAAAAATATACCTGAACATCACCTTCATTAAGAAATGATGAATTTCACCACTTATTCCACTTAATGCCACATAATGAAATAATGAGGTTAATTTTTGAGAGCTTCGTTTTTGTCGGGTAATTTTTTTAACTGGGCGGTTGTTCATTTTTTTAATTTTTTTTCCCCTGAATCTCACAGGTTGGTGACAAAACCACCCAGAAAACCCTCAGACTTGTCCTGGTTAAATGGTGGCAAGTGTAGGAAGATCCATTTGACCCTTTGACTGGGTCAAATACCCCTTTGATTTTCCTTGGGGCAGAGGTGGATGGGGAACACTGAGAAAATCTTCCAATAATACTCATTAATTTCTACGCTTTTATTTCCCGCCTGCAGTGGTGATAATATTAAAATTGTGCAATAATACAAAGTACTAAACCAATTATCCTTGTGTTTTCACTGGTCCATGTAGAAGCGGTGCTGCCCCTCAGCGTTAAATGGTTGGAATATTCAAAGGGTGTGAATATTCCTGGAAAATCCTCTTGGCACGGGGACTACACTGAATCCAGATTTTCAGTTTGGGGGAAAAAATGGTCCTTGATGTTGTTCTAGGAGGTTGTGTCTGTGTTTTTATGTTAAAACAGGCTCAGAGGATCAGAGGGAAGCTCTGACTCTCACTGTCAACATCTTTGGTGAACCGATAACACTCAGCTTTAAAAGATGCCCCACAGTTCGTGTTGGAAGCTATTCCAAAATCCTGCTCCCATGAAAATGGCGTTTCCTCATGGCTGCTGCAGCCCTATTTCTTTCCTATTGCTCAGTTTAAATTGGTTTTTTCCCCCACATTTCAGTGTTTAGCTGTTTCATTTTACGTAGCCATTGTGCTTTTTGCGCTCTCTCGTCCTTAAAGGGCCAGAGAGCATCACCTGAACATCCCCTTCTTCTTCTTCCAGGAGGGTCTGGCTGTTCCCTGCCCTCCTGCCGGCCCTGCTTGACATCCCTCTGAATTCCCAGGGCTGTGCAAAGCATTCCAGCCTCACTTTTGCCTCACAGAGCAACGTTCCCCGGCTCGAAACGTCGTGTTGGAGGTTTTCTGACCAGTCCTCCCTCTGCTGTGATGAAAAGCAGGGGAAGCTCTTCCTATACATCCCAAGTCAGTTAAGGGGTGTTTGAGATCATAGAATCATGGAATGGTTTGGGTTGGAAGGAATCTTAAAGCTCAGCCTGTCCCAACCCCCTGCCATGGGCAGGGCCACCTCCCACTATCCCAGGTTGCTCCAAGCCCAGTCCAGCTTGGCCTTGGACACTTCCAGGAATCCAGGGGCAGCCACAGCTTCTCTGGGAATTCCAGGCCAGACCCTCAACACCCTCACAGGGAAGAATTCCTTCCCAATATCGCAGCTGTCCCTGCCCTCTGGCAGTGGGAGGCCATTCCCTGTGTCCTGTCCCTCCATCCCTTGTCCAAAATCCCTTGTAAATAGTTCCTCTCTCCATGTTTCCTGCAGGCCCCTTCAGGTCCTGGAAGGCCACAATCAGGTCACCCCAGCACTTTCTCTTCTCCAGGCTGAACAATCCCAGCTCTCTCAGCCTTTGTTGGAATTCCATGGTCACAGTGACAGTGTCACACAAGTACTTTTAGAGGACTTAATTCCACCAGCATAAATTTGTTCCTTTCCTCTGCAGCTCGGTGGTGTCTTTGAGGCTTAAACCCAAAGTTCTCCGTCCTTGAAGGTTCAGTTTTTGAGCTGAGTTACCGATTCAAGAAGGCCCCTGGATGCCTGTTTGTTTTACAGCTGCCCTACAGGCCTTCCCAGAAGGAATATCTTTGTGTCTTCGCCGCGTCTTTTCCAAACAAACCCTTTGTACATCAAAACGTTGGCAAAAATAAGCCTTGTGAGCGTTTTCGAGCTGATCTCCCCGAAGAAAGAGGGTTTTGCTGGGTTGATAAGAATCAGGCAGATGTATCTCGCTGGTGCCTCGAATTCCCAAGGGAGGGAAACAGGGTGTAACCAACCACTGAAGGCCAAGGAATAAAGGATCAGCATTGAGCATCCATGAAACATTCCACTGGGATTTTTCCCAGCGGCACCCGCAGCACCTGGTCCTATATAGGTTAATCCCGTCAAAGAGACGAGTCTTTATGATTTGTAGGCTAGAAAATATTTCACAGTTATTCAGGGCACACACAAAAGGACCAGAAATACAAATAAAAGGCCAAGACCTCACAGCAGTTGAGCCTTTTGTTTGAGGCAGGACCGGGCTCCGTCATGGTCCGGGGAGCCCCGGGACAAAGGAGCCCCGGCCGTGTTTGCTTTGGCTCCGGGCAGGGAGAGTTGGTTTAAATGAGTTTATAAATGGAGGAGTGAACTAGGATGGGTTGGAGAATCCTCTTTTTTTTCTCCTTTTCTCTCCCCAGGTGCCTCAGATGAGCCGCCCGGATTTGATCCTGTTCCTCATGAAGTATCTCATGGCCTTGGTGGTCGGGATTCCCTCCGTGTTCTGGGTTGGGAGCAAGAAGACCTGCTTTGAGTGGGCCAGTTTCTTCCACGGGCGCAGGAAAAAAGAGTGAGTTTGGGAATCTGTGGGATGAACTGGCAAATCACCTCTGCCCTCATAGTCCTGGAAGAGTATTTTGGTTGGTTTTTTTTGTGGACAGGACACGAAAACAATCCATGTTTCTGCTTCATACATAAAGCAGATACTTATTTCTAAATAAAAAATAACTCATTGATTTTGAAGATTACTTGTTCCTTTAATTTCGTGTATATATAGATAACAAATATGCTATCTTCTAATATTTATACATTGGGGTTTTTTTTCTCCTTCCTCAGTCATAGTGTGTTGTGATCAGGGTAGAGTTTTGGTTCTTAGAGTTTTTTGGTCTTCATCATTAAATAAAGATTTCTGTGGCAGACCACTCATGCATGAGAATGTAACTGCACCTGCCCATTATTTAAAACACATATTTATCTACATATATATTCATACATATATATGTAGATAATATGTATGCATATTTATATGTATGTGTATATAACATATAACATACATATATATGTACATAATATATACATTTTTAATATATAACATATATATACTTATGTATGTTTGTTAACTATACCACAAGGTACTTGAAAATACTTGAAAAAAGGGACAGTTTTGTTAGGAACTTCTCACTATCCACAGGGGAGTGAGGAAGGATAAAACAAGCAACAGCTCAAAAAAACCCTGAAATTCCTTATTTTTCCCATAATTTGGTCCCAGAATCAAATCTACATTCCTCTGTCTTCAAAATATTTTTAGCAAGAATTAGTTTTCAGGTGAACACCACAACTACTCTGCCACTTACAGAAAGAGGTGGAACTGAAAGGTTTTATTTATAAATGTGGTTTTCTAGTCAACTGAATCAGACCTTTAAATTGAAGTTAAACACAAGTGCTTTTCACCGTGGTCGCAGTTAAAAGAATCTGTCTCTGCTTTCAATTTCCATTATGCATTAGTGCTGAAGTGCAGTTTGATAAAGGGACAATTAGAATGTCTTGGAGCTTCTGCGAGGGTGAAATTAATTGAGACCAGGGTGTGGCATAAATTTAGAGACAATCTGTGTGGTTTGGTAGTAGCTGTGAGGAGCTATTTTCATAACAAATATTGTGTTTTAAATAGATGTTTTTAAAATAGACCCACAAAGACAGAAGCGTTTGAGTCCTCCATGACTTTTTGCCCGTCCTTAGCAGGATGGAGCCAGATTCCTTCATTTTCCTTTGAGCAGGAAGAGACAGAGCCGATACAAACCTCCCTCTTCAGGGAGCCTGGCACCCTCTGGGAGCCAGAAAACCGGGAGGAGGAGCTGGCCAGGCACAGGAAAGGGAACAGCACAGAGAGTGGGAGGGGAGCAAAAGGCCTCCACAAGGAAGAGATTAAATCCCAAAAAGGAATGTCGGGGATGTGCTGCAGCTCCTTTCATCACACCCCGGTGGAGCAGCCAAGTGTGTGAGTGCAACCCTGGGGCTGAGGCCGCAGGGCAGCGCTTGGGTATTATTTTATATGTTTGTGTTTCGCCAGGTGCCGCCCTCCTGAAGGTTCTAATCCAGACTTTAGATGGTCTTTTGAGTGAGGAGGTGGCTTCCCGTGTTCCCCCAGAGGCAGTTCCCTGGGGAATCCGAGCCTGCCGGGTCGCAGCGCTATCCCAAGGATTTCTCTTGTACCAACATCCGCAAACCAACCCTGCAAACGCTGTGATCATTCCCATGTCCAGGCTGGAGGGTCAGGCACGGGGATTAGGATGGATTCAAGAACATGGACTTTGCTAAAATACCCAGCTACAGAGATGCTTCAAAATGATGAGGCAATTAGGGACACAACAATGCAAACAGAGGGTGTGATTTGCCAAGCTGTGCCCGCTCGTTCTGTTTGTAAAGCAGTCCCACCGCCGCAATTAGCGTTAATTGTTCCAACTGCTTGTCTTGCTCAGAGTTGTAAACGAGAGTCGCCAAGTGCTGCAGGAGCCAGACTTCGCCCAGTCTCTCCTGAGGGATCCCAACACCCCCATCATCCGAAAGTCCAGGGGCACTTCCACGCAGGGCACCTCGACCCACGCCTCCTCCACCCAGCTGGCCATGCTGGACGACCAGAGGAGCAAGGCAGGGAGCGTCCACAGCAAAGTGAGCAGCTACCACGGCAGCCTGCACCGCTCGCGGGACGGACGGTACGTGTGTCCCAAAACGTGGAGTCATGGAACGGCCTGGGTGGGAAGGGGCCTGATAGCTCACCCAGTCCCAACCCCCTGCCATGGCTAACCTGGCCTTGGGCACTTCCAGGGATCAAGGGGCAGCTACAGCTGCTCTGGGAATTCAATCCCAGCCTCTCCCCACCCTCCCAGCCAAGAATTTCTTCCCAATGTCCCATCTCCCTCTGCCCTCTGGCAGTGGGAAGCCATTCCCTATGTCCTGTCCCTCCATCCCTTGTCCCAAGTCCCTCTCCAGCTCTCCTGGAGCCCCTTTAGGCACTGGAAGGGGCTCCAGGATCTCCCTAGATCCTTCCCTTCTCCAGGTAAACACCCACAGCTCTCCCAGCCTGGATCCAGAGCCTGAGATTCTGGGAGTCCACAACCTCTCTGGGAAAATGGTGTAGAAGATTGGACAGGTCCCTGCCTGTGTGGCCACCATGGTGCTAAAACTGGATGTTCTTCTATGTTCTCCCTGTTAGTGTCTGGATTGGAGAGAGAGAAAATAAGATGCTATTTTCAGAGTCCCTGCAGATCTCCACGAGTTACACAGCATGGCTGTGTCCAGTGCCGATTTTCCTGCACATGGAAAAACAGACCTGTCCCGACATCAGCTCAGTAATTTTGTGGCTGCTTTTGTCTGTGTGCAAATAGCCCTGGCCCTGCTGAAGCAAAGGAGAGCACAAATTGCCTGCTCTGACTTGAGGTGTGGTTAAGGTTTATAACACAATTTATCATCGAGTGTTTTACTCCCCTAATTACTGATATGCTGGAGTAAGAACCGAGTAAGAACCATTGTGAAAGGAGCTGAAACGCTTTGCCTGGGGCTGTGTGAGCCCAATGACTGAGCGAAGCAGGGGAAGGACTTTCCTCCCAAGAGCAGAGGGTTGATGAGATCTATTTAGTTGTGCCCTGAGCGAGGCGGTAACGACGGCAATAATTGTCCCGTGTTTTCCCCGACTCAGGTACACTCCCTGCAGCTACAGAGGAGTGGAGGAACGACTACCTCACGGCAGCATGTCCCGACTGACCGACCACTCCAGGCACAGCAGCTCCCACCGGCTGAACGAGCAGTCACGGCACAGCAGCATCAGGGACCTCAGCAGCAACCCGCTGACACACATCACGCACGGCACCAGCATGAACCGCGTCATCGAGGAGGATGGCACCAGTGCCTGAGCCCGGAGGAGCGCTCCCAGAGCGTGGAGTGGTTGCTCAGCTCGTGGTCCCTTCCTCAGTATTATCATCCTCTCGTCAGGTGCTGAATTTGGGCTGAATCAGGAAGCCAAAAGCGGCGTCGCAGCCGGACGCTCTCGAGGAGCTCCAGTGTTCAGCTGTCCCGAATTCCTGAGTAAAAAGCCTCCTTTGAACCTCTCTGTAGGTGATTATTTATTCCATGGCTGGTCCTCATCAGACACCACTCCTGAAAATCTTTGTGGAAAATGGTCTCCCTTTTCCTCCCTCTCTCCCTCTGCGTGTCGGGAGGTGTCACCCCGAAAACTCACTGCCGGGGTTGCACTGAGGGTTTTTCTGGTGAGACTTGGGAACTCCTGGTTGCTGAAGGAATTCCTCAGCACACCTCCTTGACACAATTCCTGCCTGTCTCCGTCGTGTACATCAGGAGAAGACACATCAAATGCTGCCCGAGGGACACCTGTGCGAGCTGGGATGGTCACACTGGAAACACAAGGGAGAAGGAAACCCCACTGAGGATCCCCAGCTCTTCCCAGAGCTGCTCAGGCTCAGCCGCTGGGACGGGGTGGGAGGGTGGGGGGAAGAGACACAGGCAGGAAAGAGCAATTTTTTTATAACTTGTAATTGTCCTTGCTTTTTTACAAAAAGACTATTTAAATTTTCTACTCGTTTACAGTTTCTGTAGGAAGAGAACGGCTTTTCAAACCAGTTATCAAGATGATATTCAGCCACTTATTTTTTAGAGTCCTGTACAGAAGCTGAGATTGCCTGTTCCTGATCTATTTAAAAAAAAAAAAATTATAATAGAAAAGCTGAATTTTTCCCCCAACCAGGAATGTAGAGCCCGTTCCCTACAACCAGAGCAAGGCCTGTTTCCGAGCCCCAGCTCCACGGTGAGGAAAGGCTGAGGCCAAAAGGACCGGAGGAGTTTATTCAGGGATGATCCGCCTGCCTTGCGATGTCACGGCTGGTTTGGGGAGGATTCTCTGTGCTGAGCAAGAATTAGAAAATGAGTGGGAGAAATCCAGGCAGGAGCTGCCCACAGACGGGGAAAGAGCAGGATGTGGCAGCCGGAATTGCTGTCTTGAGGAGGAGGAGATGGGATCCATTGTAAATTTTTGGCTCCTTCCCAGCCAGGGATTTTGCATTATGGATCAACCTCTGCTGTAGGGTGTTTTCTTCTCATTCAGATTCACAGTGGAGAATTCTCACTTTGGGCTTTTTTAATGTGGAAACACTCTGTTGGGATGCACTGGAGGCAGAAGTGGAGGCACGTCCTGGACGGTGCCGTGGATCTTCTGGAGCATCTGCTGTCGGGATTCATTCAGCGTGAGGAAACACTGATCCCATGTAAACCTACCTCAGTAATTACTACAGACCATTGCTGGGAGATGAATCCATATTTTTGCATTGTCCTTACGTAATTCCCTTTCCGAGGCACGTTGGAGAAGCCTTTGGAGACGGTTTGTGTGGCACATCCTCGAGGGCAGGGACAGGGCAGCAGCTCCCGGGCTGCTCCACAATTACTCCTGTTAATTGTTGCTGATGACACAACAGCAAAGCCGGGGGATCAAGGGCTGCCTCGGGAGGCACCGAGTCTTAGAGATACATTTATCCTAAATTGAGATACATTTTTCCTAAATTGTCCTCCTTGCTTCCACCGGGCTTCTTGCTCCAAAGGAGAGGCACAGAGGGAACCCGGCGTGGAATCACAGTCCAGGGAGGGAGTTCTGCACCCGCTCCCCCGGGGCAGAGCACACTCTGCTGTGCCTGTTTGCTCAGCAAACAGCCCCGGGGGCCATCCCCAGGGATAACCGGCTGTCCGCAGGGATAACTGCCCAGATCCCTACAGCGCCTCTTCCAAAGCAGAAAGGGTGTGGAAAATCCCGAAGCCAGCAAAACTACAACTCCCTGGAAGCCCCAGAGGTGGAGCCTTTGTTATTTTCAGGTTCAGCTCCTACTAAATAACCTGCTGCTTCAAAGGGATGATCCATTCAGGAATCTGGATCTGCAGAAGGAGCCAGGAAGCTGAGTTTTCTTAAGCACTGGACCCGGACTAAATAAGCTCAAGTGTTTACATTGATCTTCCTGGCTCAGTTTCCAGTACCTTTTTATATATATATTTATATATATATATAAATTTTAGCCATGCTTTTACTTGTTTAGAGTCAGGGAGGGGAACAGTGATGGAGGTTTGAAACAGATCCTGCTGGAAATGTTAATTTGGGAGGTTCAGTCCCCCTGTTGCCTCCAGATGGGAATATCTCGGCTGTTCCTTGCTCATGGATCCTGTAAAGGACAGACTCCTGTCACCCCAGAGAGGTGATTAAACCTCAAATTAGAGTTCTGGTTGGGGCTTTTTGCCTCCCTGCTGCCTCTCTTTTATCTTCAAAACCTGAGCTCTGGGCAGAGCATTCCTCCCGGGATTTTGAAGCCCATCCCCGATGTCAGATTGTCCCAGCCCTGGTGCAGTTCCACAGCCAGGGCACTTCAGCTCCCAAACCATCCTGCCCAGGGGCTCTGACCCATATCCCAGTTGGAATGTGGCCCAGCCACCACCTCTGGCAGGGGCACCAGGCACGTTTTTGGGGTCCTTTCCTAACTTTGGCACATCCTGCTCACCGGGAAGAGCTCCAGCCTGGGCACCGGATTTCTGGGATTGGTGCCAAGCTTTAAATTCCCCTGGAGCTTAAACCCCTGCTTTAATAAGCCCCTGCCCAGGAGGACAGTTGAGCAGTCACTGGAACACTCCGGGTGCTTTGGGCTTTGGCTGCCTGGATGTTCCTGCAGCTGAACACACATTCCTCGTGGGGGTCCAGCACTGCTTTATCCCTTCCCAGCAGAAACAGGACACCAAAACCTGGACCCCTTCTCCTGGGAAACAGGCAGAGAAGCTGCCCAGCTTCTCCAGCTCATCCCAACAGCAGGTTAATGTATCCCCCTCCTACACACACGAGATGACCTGAGCCCCAAAACTCTGCTCTGCAAGATCGCGACAGCGAAGCTTCCCACAAAACGCACGGCTTCTCATTCCCAGTATTCCCAAGGAGCTGCATCTCCTGGTTTGTGAACCCAATTGCCGCTGACAACAGATTCCCCAGAGCCTGTGATGTTCCTTCTTTCCTAACCCCTTCGTAGCTCTTGTTGTTCACTGCAATATCCCAAATCGGAGCTGCGGCCGCGTTGCATGGAAAAGGAGCAGTCGCCCTTCCCTTGGATCTGTGCCACTCATCCTTTTTTAGAGCACAAACAATCCAACAGCAGCAAAAAGCCACGTTCAGGTGCAAATGTGTTTGTCTGCTCTCGATGCCTTCCCTTTTCCTACACCCAAGTTTTGCTCTGGAAGCGTTGGATACCGGCTGTACTGGGGGTTGGGGGTGAGCACGGGGCCAAAATCCAGCTGCAGCAAAATCCAGCACTGCTCCCAATTTGTTCCAGCAAGGAGGGGAGGGAAAACCCCTCATAAAGGGCTTGAGGAGAAGAGCCAGGAGAGCTGGGTTAATGCCCACCCTTCCAAGGGAACTGACTCCACAGCCCAGTTCCAGGGGGATGAGGATCCCAAAACAGCAGTGGGGAGCGGGCAACCCCCCTGTGCCATGAAACCGGGGCACAGAGCAGAGTAACCCTGCATGGGAGACATCCCGAGGTCCGCCTCAAACAGCAGAATGTCCAGTTGAATGTGAAATTTCCCTTCCTCTCCCCATGTGCTCCTTTCCTACCCGGACTGGGGTTTATTTCCACCCGAGGCGGGGCGTTTTCTGCAGTCTCTGCCTGTCAAGAGCAGCCGTGGGGGCCGTGCATGGGGGCACTTGGTGCATGTAATGCTTTGCCTGGACACTCTTGTGTCCCTGCTGTACCATCATCCACCTGGATGGGAGGGGAAGGAGCTCCCGTGTCCGTGAGTCCCACACAGGGTGGGAACACGGGGGCCAGTCCTGACCCGACCTGCGCTCGGCTCTGGGTAGGCTCGTTTACAGTAGTCCAGTGTCGGTTTTGTAAAGTTTAATTTTTTTAGCACTTTAACTGTGAGTGTACAAACTGTAGTAGGTGTACATTTTCGTTTTAGACCTTTGGAAGTTTTTAATAAAACGTTTGAAACGCCCCGGTCTCTCTCTGTCGACAGGTTTTCGACCCCTCTCCGCGAACCCCCCCTTTAAAATCCCGGTTCAGCGGCAGCTGAGTTGAGAGATTAAATAATTGAGGATCAGGTTTGGCTCTGGCCAGCAGTGCCCTGAATCTGAAGAAAGGCTTTCTAGGCTTAATCTTCCCCCAGCATCTGTACTCGTGGACGCCGGGCACCCTTCCAGCAAACACAAGATTTTGGGCTCTGGTTTGTTCCACCCTTTTATGAGAACAGACCACTCAAACCGCCGGCATTCCGTGAGCAGAGACAAGCGAAGGGCAAACAGGTTTGGGAGCAGCGATTCCAGGGCTGTTTGGGGTTTTTTTTTAATTGCCAAATCAAACCTGAGGACTGGCTGATGAGTGATTTACTTTAAGTAGCTGTCTGGCATTTGGGCAGGGACGTGGTGGTTTCATGTGCTGAGCCTGGCACGGCTGGTGATAAAACAACTCACTAATCACAGCTGGGGCTGGTTTAGCACTGGGGGCTGGTTTGGGCCTCGTTAAGATCAATAGTTCAGGGATGAAACTTTAGGAGATGAACAGCTTGGAGATGAAACTTCAGGTTTTAAACCCTGAAGTCCTGCCAGGGCCACGTGGAGGTGTGAAATCAGCTCCTCCTCAGCAGAGCGGCTCCATCTGGAAACATCAGCCTTCCCCGGGAATGCAGCACCCAAAGAGTCCTTGGAGCAGTGGTAGGAAAAGCCTTTCTAGGGAAAACCAAAGTGGGGCTGTGGCTGCTGAGTGCTGGGGACTCGTGGAGCTGCTGGGGACACTTGTCCTGCTGTAGGGACCTGCACCTCGGCAGGGAGGGCAGGAGGGACAATATCCCTTCTCCTCCATCTCTCCTGGATTTAGACTCTGGCTGTTGTGGGTTGTGAGCAGCTGACTCCAAAGATATGATCCAGCTCAGCCTCTTGGAGCACCTAGGAGGATTCTCCCTGCAGCTAAAACCATCAGGGATGAGGAATGGGAGCTCATGGCATTTATCTCCTCACTTCTGGGCTGCTTTAGCAGGTCCCAAAGGGGTTAATGCAGGAGTTGAGGAGGAGATTGGAGCCACCTGGAGCTTGTTTAGTCCTCTCAAAGATGATTTCATGACCTGCAGGTGAGGAAGGTGGGAGAAGCATGGAATAGGAGCAGCGGGGAGAGGGATGTGGTCAGAGCAGAGACTGAGGGCAGGGCAGATCAGACCCTCAGGCTGGGATTAAGGCTGGTGTGTTTTAGTTACTATCACCTTCCTGATGCACCTTAACACTCTGTTTGCTGTTTTGGGTCCAGCTTTGCCTCTCAGCCCTGCCAGCTCGTGCCCTTGTTTGGGGTTTCTTGTCCAGTTGGAAGGGAGAAAAGCATCTGGCCATGCACAAACCCCACAAACAAAATGACAGAATCACAGAATCATGGAATGGTTTGGGTGGGAAGAGACCTTAAAGATCATCTCGTTCTAAACCCACTGCCACGGGCAGAGACACCTTCCACCATCCCAGGTTGCTCAGAGCTCCATCCAGCCTGGCCTTGGACACTTCCAGGGATCCAGGGGCAGCCACAGCTTCTCTGGGCAACCTGTACCAAGGCCTCCCCACCCTCACACGGAAAGGTTTTTTCTTGATATCTAATCCAAATCTACTCCAAGAAATCCTTTGTAACAAAAGGCTGAAACAAAATAGGGCGGATCTTTTTAAACAGTCATTTTCTGTAGGTGTTACCTCCCCTCGTGCAGAGGGACACAACCACCGACCCCTGAACGTGACCATCTGCTGGGATCCACGTCTCCAGCACCCTCTGCTACCGGTCTGACTGGTTTTTGTAACACTCCAGGCACGTTTGATTGATATTCAGTCTCCAGTTTCAATGCCTGTGTCTGTTTGCTGCCTCAACACCCACATCCTGCTCCCGTGGTCCCACCAACGTCCTCTGCTCCCCCTCCATCCCATGGGGACGTCACGAGCGGGGAAAGCAGCTTTCTCCTCACCCACCTCTTTGCTTTTGGGTTTTATTAAATCCCACCTTCCACTGAGCCCCTTTGCTCCCCACCCCCATTTATGACTTCACCTCCACAACCCCGCTCCAGCTCTTTGATGCATTTTGAGTTCTGTCTGACTTTTAAAGAGACTTCCATGTCTCCTGAGGGAGGGCTGAGTGGATGCTCGGCAAATTGGAGGGATCATGACACCTGAAATGGTGGGAAAGCTGAAGATGGACGGACCTGCAGTGCCAAATGTTTGCCAGCCTCTTCCCAAGCTGCTGTAAGAGGATATTTAAAATATATTTATAATAACTTTTTTTGGTGTAGACATATCCTCTGCTGCTTCCCATTGTTTGTTGGCCAAGCACTGGTGCGGAGGGTTCCTGCCTTTGGGAAATCGTGCTGAAAAAAATCCCTCAAGGCCCTGAATTGCAACATAATCCAGCTACAAATCCCACCTGGAGTCTGTCAGAAGGGACGAGCCCTGACACACCTCCACTGAGCTCCTTCAAAGCCCTCTGATCTCCGCCTGGAAACGCCGCCATCAGATAAGGCTCAGCCGCTGCCAAAAGACACAGAGTATCTGCTTGGCTGCAGAAAGTGGGATTGGGCAAAGCTAACCCTGCTCCTCAGTTTTTTAATTTTTGGAGGGAAACCGGCTCCTTGTGCTGGTTCTCCCTTTCAGGGGGGTTTGGGGCTTTCCTGGTGGTCCCCAAAGCCTGAGGTGCTGCCAAGCCCTTGGGGATGGTGGCACTGAAGCACGGAGGGAGCAGGGCCAAGGATGTGCTGGCTCGTGGGAAAGCAATAAAATCTGGGGCTAACCAAGGATTAAAGGAATTTGGGCCTCTAAGTGACGAGAAGACGTGGCCTCAAGCTGTGCCACGGGAGATTCAGGGTGAACTTCAGGAGGAATTTCTTCCTGGAAAGGGTGGTCAGGCATTGGAAAGGGCTGCCCAGGGAGGTGGTGGAGTCTCCATCCCTGGAGGAGCTGTCCAAGGAATGACTGGACGTGGCACTCAGTGCTCTGGGCTGGGTGACAAGGTGGGGATCGAGCACAGGTTGGACTAAGCAATCCTGGAGGTCTTTTCCAACCTCAGGGAATCTGCGAAAACCAGAAGCCACCTTTATTTTTCAAATCCTTTTTTTTTCCACTGGAAATTTTTCTTCCTAAACGCAACACTGAAGCACCTGGTTGCCCACGGAAGCCTCTGAAGGAGCTGCCCTGGGTGATCCGACGTCGGATGTGAGCCCGCAGCGCTCCTCGGGCAGGTGAAGGGTTAACACTCATCTTCGGGAGCACAGCCCCCGAATCCTGCCACAGCTCGTTAGTCCCCGAGCAGGGGTGAAGGGCGACAACTGCTAATTGCGGTGACGGCCTCCGGAGCTGTGAGAAATTCGCGGCAGCACAATGGGGAGGTGCTGAACTTCGCGGCGTTAACAGGTGCCGGGTCACCCCCGGCTGCCCCAAAACCCTGACCCCCTGGCACTCTCTGGGAGCGACCCTCCCGACCTGTCTGCGGGGCATCTCTCCCTCCGGCTGTTTGGGACGGATTTTGATCCGCCCGGAGCAGCTGCTGCTGGAAAAGCAGGACTTAAACACTTGTATTTTTGCTTGAAGCCCAGGAGGGAGGGGCCCCGAGGCCCCGGCAGCGACGGGGGATGTCACAGGGACATCTCCGGGATGTCACAGCGACATCTCCGTTCCTCTCTCAAGCAGCAGTAAATCACATTCCCAGTGCTGCTCCTGCCCCACACCCTCCAGGGCTTTGCATTAGTCAAATGACTTGGATCAGGGATGGTACAGGATGAGGAAAAGAGCTGCACCATCCAACAAGCTCGAGTGCCCGACACTGGGCTCAAACCAGCTCCTGGCATCAGGGGAGCCCCTGTTTTCCTCCTCCTCTGCTCCCACTGTAAGCAGAGCTCGTTGTACAGCATTTGTTTCCCCCTAGTGTCCTGTTTTCCCAAGGACAAACCATCCTTGAAGGCCTTTCCTCCCTCCTGGGACAGGGGGGGAGATTGGGGGCCTCGTAAAAGAGCTCTTGGAGCAGCCTGGGTGCAGGGAGGAAGGAGGTTTTGCCATGCAGGGATGGAGGGATGCTGGGCTTGGAGGGATCCTGGGCATGGAGGGATGCTGGGCTTGGAGGGATCCTGGGCATGGAGGGATGCTCATGAGCAGCTTGTGGGGAGGAACTGATGTTTGGGATGCTCATAGAATCCTGGAATGGTTTGGGTTGGAAGGTTATGGAAGAAGCCACAGGGTTAATCCTGTGCAAGGTCCTGAGTGTGGGGGATGTCCCACACCTTCCCACGGGAGGTGCTTCTCAGGACAGTTTGTCAGGATCCACCGTGGATTTTCCACCCAAACCCCGGGGCAGAAACCTCTCTGTCCCTCTGGAAGAGGGAAGTCCCTGGGGAAATGTGAGGGCTCATCCCTGCCCATCTGAGCACCAGGCCGGGGCACTGCCGGGTTTGGGGAGCCCGCCGGGGCTCCCTCCTGGTGGCCGGGAGGGCTGCGGGAATTCATCCCAGAAAAGCAGCGTCCCCAGAGGCCGGCTGGGATTTTTGGTGCAATAGTGCCACCCCGTGCACCGTGCCAGCCCCGCGCTCCCGGCGCCGGTGACGAGGGACACCGCTGGCCCAGGTGGCCTTGGCCGGGACACAGATGGGTGACAGGCAGGATGGGGGTGGCACTGGGGGTCAGAACATCCAAGGATGGGGACAAATCCATGGGCTCCACCCCTGTGGTTAGGGATGGCACCACTATGGGAATCCCTCATTCCCAAGGCAGTTGGGATCCTGCCAAAATGCCTGTGGTTTGCAGGGACACCACCAGAGGTGGAGAAACATGGAATGTGCAGAAATCACATCAAACTGCGTGATTTGTCGAGCTGCAAACGGGAGGTTTGTGCTGGTTTATGCTCTTTGTCTTTGCTGGTGCCCCACAGCAGTGAGCAGCACCTGGACCGTGCAGATCCTTCCTCTGCTCCATGTCCTGCCCTGGAGGGAGACGT